CTAAAAGGACACTGACCTGGACTGCACAGAGAGACAGCTCCCTCAGCTGGCGACCTGAGCTGGGGAGCCCTTCTTCACTGCCTACCAGCGCCTTTCTGTGAAGATGCTGGGCCAGCCTGGGTTTCAGAGAGCCATTCCCTGAGAGGCTCTGATCCCCCAGTGCTTCCAGAGTCCTCCTGCATCACGGGGTGGCGGGTGTCCACTGCCTCCACACGTGATCAGACAATTTCCTCACAGGTTAGGGCATCAGCACTAAGAACAACCATGGTGAACTTAGGGCTGAGTCTGTGAGAGCTCTCAGACAGCAGCCCTTCTATGCAGAGCAGTTAGCCAAGGTGGGCCGGGAGTCTAACTTGGCCTCACCTCCAGCTGTGGCTGTGGGGCCCTCCTGTCCCTGTCCCATCAAGTTCTCAGATCCAGTCAACTGCAGTCAGTGGTGCCCTCGCTTGCCCTTCCCGACCCCCCAGAGACTGTCTGTGAAAAGAAAAGCGAAGATTCCCAGGGAAGGGCCCGCTCACTCTGCCTTGCTGCAGCAAACTCGCACTGGGAAGAAGGCCTGAGAAGAGTCAGTCTCAGGAGGAGAGGCCAAAGAACTGCTGTGACTCACAACAAGAGAGGGCTTGGATGTCATGAGCCAGTGGGGGAGGCCAGTTTCCAGGGAGCTGCGGGAGCAAAGCCATGTGAAGGGTAACAGCTGAGGCCTTGCTGGGGCTGAGGGGGGTCAGACTGCCCAGCTCTGACTCTTGCTGGCCATGTGATCTTGGACACATGACAGCCTTTCCAAACCTCAGTTTACTCATCTGTAAAATGAGGATAGTAAGTTCCTATCCAATAAGATTGCTTAATTTACCTAAGAATACACATGTAAATGGCTTAGCAATCAATAAATGTTAGCTATAGTGACGATGGTGATGGTGATGATGATGCCAGCAGTGAGCTCTGTGGCCCAAGGACTTTATTTCTTGATCCCATGGTAGGGGTAGACTCTGGCCCTGCAGCCTCTCATTGCTTCCTGCAGGATGCAGGGAAAGGAAAAGGGTGCTCCAGCATCCACGGGGCAGAGAGGACCCTGCTCCCTGCAGCTTGAGCTCCACACCCCAGGCTCTTTCTGGCTGGGGTAGCAGACTGGGGCACACAGCCGCAGGAGAGATCATGACTAACTGCGATCACTTACCTTGGTTGTCATAGGAAGTGATGACCTGGGGTTGCTGAAGGTGCTGCTTCTCCGCCAGGTTTCCTAGTTAAGGATGACAGAGAAGCCTGCAGTGACCACTGGGACCATGGTGGAATTTTCCTGGGGCACAGTAGGGAGCTGTGTGTATGTGCAAGAAAGGCGTGCTGGCAGGGGCTGAGCACATCCGCAGGCCTAAACATGTGCACACACTCATGGCGTGCACACCTGTGAACCGGCAGTTACACACCTGAACACGGAGACAAATGCCTAGGAGCCCCTGTGCACACACCCCTCACGCTCTGAGCAGGTGCCAGCGCATGCTGGTTTTCTTCTAGAGCAGGCTGCTGAAGACTTCCATGGTCTATGGAGCCATAATTCCTGACTTTGGTATTGCCAGGCAGTTGCCAAAGCACTTTGCCATACGTGGATGCCTCATTGATCTTCATACCTCTCCGTGGCAGAGGCTGGGGCGTTCTGACCTGGGATTTGACCCCAAGTCTTCTGACTCCTGCCTCCCTTGGAGAAAACTGGGACCAGCCTGCCTTCTACTCCAGCCTAGGAGTTGGGATGATGTGAAGTCTCGTTCGGCTTCATAAACATTTACAGGGCACCCACTATATGCAAGTTCTCTCCACACACTAGGGATATTTCTGTCCCTGGAACAGAGAGCTGTCCTCAGAGCCTAGTGGGGTCAGGCTGCTGTGGAGAGATGGTTCATTCATGCCATCGGCCATGAAGGGGGAACTCGCAGGCTTACCTGCCCCTCCTACAAGAAGCATGACCTTTTTCCTCCGTCCCTTCTCTACAGTTGAGGCTGTGGCCTGGTCTTACTGAGGCTGCCCTTGGACCTCTGCTTCAGAGGGGCAGGGAGGGGCAAGGTGCAGGACTGTGGCACCAGAGGTTCCCCACCATGACCACCTTTGCCTGCCATCTTCTCCGTCTGGCTTCCCACTGGCCTGCAGTGGACTTGTCACTGAAAGTGGCTACTGGGACCAGTGCCTTGGTCTGGGAATAAGCATGCCTCCGGGGTGCTGGCCTGAACAGGTTCCATTCAGGTGACTCTCCCTGTGTACCCAACCAGACGGACCACTCAGTGCTTCCCATGCCTGGGCCCAAGCAGAAGCCAGTCAAGGTGCATGGGTGGGTGGGGTACCAAGCTGGTCGGGACTTGTGATCCACCTGTCACAGTCTTGCCCTGGAAAAGCCTGCCTGCTCCAGCCTTCTCCTATGAACAGGCCCAGCCAGGCCCCCGAGGCCCCTGTTAGTCTGCCGAGGGCCAGGTCCACTAAATGCGCCAACACTGGGTGATGTAGCATGCTGGGCTGGAGCCCCACACCAGACTCAGGTGAGGACAGGGAGGCCACCTCCTGCGGGCACAGCTGGCAGCATCTCAGCTGACCGAGAGAGGAAACAGGATCTGGGAAGGGAATCCTCCAGAAGGGTGATTGGCTGGCATGGCTGCTGCGGGGTATTTATAGTCAGGGCTGCACAATTGGTTTCCATGTAGCTGTGGGGCGTCAGTTGCTGTGCTGCTAGGCAGACTTCGGCCAGGACCAAGGAAAGCAGCCAATCACAGCAGGGGAAGCCCGTTGCTGGGCAAGCTATGGGGCAGGGGAGGGGAGTGGGGGTGGTTGGCTCAGCCCAAACACCTGTTGCTTCGAGAAGTTTGGAACACTCCAGGCTCCCCCACCCTGCCAACGCCCTAGCCCAAGGAGTGCACAGGGCAGCGAGGGGGGAAATGTGCCCTTTTGGATCAGCCCCATGTTCAGCCTCGTTTGTGCACACTCCACCAGCACATGCCATCAGCTGCTTCCTTCTCAGATGAAGGCATCCAGTTACCAGGGTTGGGCGGTCTGCTGGTTACCAGAGCTGGGTGCCTTGGGCACTAACAAGGCAGGTATGAGAAAAGGTCAGCTTCAATACCTATATCCAGAATCTCAACATCAGAAAACAGAGAAAGAAGCTACAATTTTAAATCCTGCATGCATGAAAATGTGCCATTTGAAAAACAAATGAAATTTTACTTTACACATATTGGTGGGGTGGTGGAAGCATTGTCCTTCCTGGACTCAGGGCCTCTTAGAGCCTCTCTCCAGCTCTGCATTTATGTGAAGCTCTCAGTTCTCATGGAGGTTTCGTAAGAACTACTTTAATTGTCCTCTATTGGCTGATACATTGTCCTAAGTCTCACTTCATGTCTTTTACAAGAGCCTTGTAACAGTCTTGTAATCGCCACTGTGTCACTCTGTGTTGTGTGTATTTTTTCAACTAAATCAGAAGACTGGAAGATGGTAAAATAGGATGAATTCAGTATATTTCAATCCTCTCCTGTTGGAATAACATTCCTGAGAAGCCCTAAGGTGAGTGTCAGACAAGCCAGGCAAGGTAAGCACGAGCTGCAATAAACAAGGATGCAGCGTCTCTTTGCTCCTGCTCACACATGGGCCCGGTGTGCATGCCCTGCATGGCCACTTTTGTGGCTGACAGGCCTCTGGAGGTCTGACTCTCATGGCAGTTCTCACTAGCCCACAGCATAGTTTTGCTAGCTTTGGCATCTACCTCAGTAGAGCTAAAGTTGGCATGTCTACCACCTGATGGCCCCACCAGCAGGGTTAAGGAGGCCATTGCACCCACACAGGCCATCAGCCAGGACACAGAGGTGTGGCCCTCCTGGCCGGGTGAGGGGCAGGCGTGTCTCAAGGATGACCCCTACCATGAGCAGGGGAGGAGGCACAAGAAAGTTCTTTATCCCCAGGATGTTGAATATTATGGTTCCAGTCATTTTAACGTAGGCCCTCGAAGTCAGGGTTCTTGGCTGCCTTATTCTACTGTTTTATCCCCAACATTTAGAATCGTGCCTGGCACAAAGTAAGTGCTATAAACATTTGTTGAGGGAATGACTGAATGAATTTACTTTTAGAACTTTATCCTTCCTTCTTTACTGTCAGAAGGATGGTACAACAATAGCTGTTCAGTCTTACTCATTGGCAGCAGCCCTGTTTCCCCATTTGTGGAGGGTCATGGAGGGTGGTTCCTTCAGACTGGCATTTGAAGAGCCAGTTGTCTGATCCCAGGGCTCTCATAGCTGGGGTTTGCGGAGCTCCCTACTGGGGCCTGGGGGTGGAGGTCTGATTCTTATTCTTATTAGAATTCTCACATGCCTACTGTGCATTATCACAGATGTTTGTCCCTGGAGGCTGGGCTAATGAATCTCTGAAGGACCCATCACAGTTGGCTCATCCATAGCACTCCCAGAGAGATCCTGGCCCTGCAGGGGTGACAGACACCTGGCACCAGAGAGAAGAGGCTTGGAAGCTGATTTCTTATTGAATTCTGGGCCAGCAGTGAGCTATAAAACTCTTGAGTGATGTCTCCCCAGGCCTCAGGTAAATCCATCCCAAGGAAGACCACTGTCCCCTCTGTTGGGAAACATTTCCAAAAGATGGATGGCTTGCATGACACAAGCAGCCCTGCCTCCTGTGGGAGCACGTTCAACCTCACCATCCCAAGTGATGCCAAGTCCTCCCCTATAGCTCAGCCAGAAAACAAGTGGGTGCTGAAGTTCATGGCATCACTCTTCAGCTACAGCCTCCAGAAGAGCAACAGACCCAATGCCAGGAAAACCTTGCTACTGTCACAGTGGCCCTAGAGGCCTGGTTGGGTCAGGAGCAGCCACTTTCTGCTCAGTGCTTAGATATCTAGGGGAATCTCATTTCTATCTGTCTAGGGCCAGTCTTTAAATGAGTGAAACCCAGTCCTTCCAGTGATTATTCAATGTACTGAATTCCAGAGACTGACAAGAAAAGAAAAAGAAAAGAGAATTTACCGTGAAGGTTGTTTCCTTCTAATTTCTGCCATCTTCGGACTCCATTTCCGACGCCTTGGAATCCTGTGAAATAACGAGGTTCTCTGAGGTGGGAGGCCCAGGGCAAGTGAGTGATTGACAATGGCAGACTTATCTGGGCTAAAGTAGGGCAGGTGGCACTTGGCTCTCTTGGGATCTGGGGGAGGCGGCCCAGGAATGAGATGCACGTGGGGAAAGAATGTAACCCTCAACATTCAAAATATTAAAAAAATGCCAAAACAGTTTTCGAGGGTGGTGAGGTTGGTTATCAGGATCATCTGGGGAGAATCTCTGTAATACAGATGCAGATTTTCCACTTCCACATCTCCACCGCATGGATACGAAAGCACTATTTTAGAAGACACTTGCTATCCACTTTGCCTGCCTATTTCTGTATATGGCGAGTCCCCCACTTCTAGATGTTGGGTGGGGGTGGGCAAAGGCTGCCTATCCCCATGGGAATGGAAAGCCACAGCTGCCTGCTCTCCCAGCGTCCCTTGCAGCTCCAGCATGGACACGTGGGGCCCGGCTGTAGCCAATCAGATGCACCTGTGTCCCACTCTGACTTGGGACCTGGTGATGCAACGGGAAGTGAAGGGAAGGGAAGGGAAGCTCTCACTCTGGCGGTGGCTGTAAGTGGTAGCCGCAAGGTCGAGTTCCTGGCACAGATATGGCATACATTCTGGCAGCAGGAGCTGCTGCAATAAAATTGAGTTCCTGGCGCAGAAAGAGTATCTAGTGCTCCTCAGTGGCCGCAGGGGTTTCCTGAACAGATCAGCTCTGTGGTGCTGTTTATGGCACTGTTCCTGGGATATGAGCCTCGAGTCTCAGCCCTTTCAACCACACAGAGACCCCCGCTCCTTTCTTTTCTGCAGAGTCCTCCACAGTCAGTACCTGTGGTTTACCACTTGGAATGTTCAGTGACACACTCATGCAGTGCAATACACAAGTCACATAGACTTTCGGGATAAAACCTAAGACTTTGAAGCCCCTTCAGACTAGCTGCAGGCGGATTTGGGCTACCTCCTTCCCTGCCACAGGAATACATACACTCTCCTCTCTTATAGGAGCTGAGGGCTTCCAGGCATGTTTTTGAGAAGCACTGCTCTAAGGAAATGGCTGGGAGGATGCTAGGGCCCTCGAAGAAATGGGAGATAGCATCTGCTGGCCTTGCAGCCCAATCTCTGGTGGCCCAGCCTGTCCATATTCTCCTTGCCTTCTTGTCCCTCTGACTCCACCAGCAGCAAGAGCCACCTGGTTACAGCTTCACTCTGTCCTCCGCATTGTGACAATAACTGAGCTTTGATGTTTTGTGACATGGAGTGCAGGTCCTCCTTTGTAGAGCCAAGGAAGATCTGCTCCACAGTGAAGGACCAGAAGCGCAGAGGAGACAGGAGGAGACACCTGAAAGTCGGTATGGGTTTGTTTTGGATCTTTGCACCAAAGGGGCGCCTTGGAACAAGTTCATCTTGTTCAGCATTTTCCTCCCTTAGGCTGTGTCTGGAGGAGTGGCCTGCAAGCTGGCTTAGCCTGGGGTCTCCTGGATACCATCACTGCCCAGCAGGCATAGGAGGCCATTCACTTCCCCTCTTCTCTGCTCTGATGCAGAGTTGTCTGATTGTGAATAAGTGACACAGGTCTCTCCGCTGTCTTTCATGGCATCTGTGAGAAACTTCCATTGGGAAAATATTTAGAGAAAAATACCAGCAGAAAGAGCCTAGCAAGCAGGGGTCTTTTTTCCCCCTGAGTCATGATGGTGAGTTGAAGTGTGCTGGTCTGGAGTTATGGGGGTTTGTGCTGGGTGTTGGACACCTCTTGGGGGCAGTCCCACTGCCCAGCATTTCCTGGGCTTCTCTGCATTCTTTGCCCTCTCTAGCGTCAGAGCCTTTAGGAAAGATGTGATCAGAGGGGACGGGGAGGTGAGGACTCACGGGCTGAGCTAGAACTGGGTCTCATCACACACTGCGGGAATCTCCTTTCTATCAAGAAGCTGATGACCTCTGCTGATTTTCTAATGACACATACGGCAGGTGGGCCATTTCCCCTTCTCCCAGGATCAGCGCTGAGAACTAAAGAACAATTAACCTGAACAGTTCCTGGCCCTCAAATCCCTCCTGAGACTGGAGCACCTGTCAACGTAGCCCTCTGGAATCTATTTCTTTCCCCTGCCTACCTCCCCAAGAGGTCCCCAGGTGCTCTGGAGGTAGCTGCAGCCTCTGTGGCTGCTGGTGGCAAGGCCATCCATGGCACCATTGCTTTTGCAAGGCAGGTGGAAGGTGGATGTTCAATGTGCACAGGGGCTCTGGGGACAGAAGAGCCAGGGGCAGAGTAGCAGCAGGAACACAAAGGAGTTTAAGAGCTAGAGGGAGGGTGGGAGGCAAAAGTCATTTTCCTACATAGGCTATGAAGCATTGAACCTAAGAACCGGCACACAATCAGCCTAGTGCCCCCTCACACCAGCCTCCAAAAGGGGTCTGGACACAGGATCTGAGGTTCCCAGACTTCTCAGGGGTTTATTTAACCTCCACTATTATTCGTCTAGACTCTGTTCACTTTGTGTCCTATCGTCTTGTCTGGAGAACACAGAGACCTGGGTCCTGCTTTCCACGGTCCCTCTATAAACAGTCACTGTATTTACCCATCTACCGTTCTCCAGAAACTCTGCAGGACAAGTAAAACTGATGCATAAGTTCAAGTGGGGAGAGCAGATTTTAAATCTCACCCTCCCCAAGCCTGTGTTCCTTTTACCCCTTTCATGCCTTCTATCTGTAGGAAGCTGAGAGAGAGGCTAAAGAGAGGGGAAACTGAGGCTGGAAATTGTACAAGGCCAATAAGGGAGCGCCTCTTCTCAAAGTCCGACTCAGCACACAGATTTCCCTGGGTCTCCGTGCCCTGCAGTGTGTTGTAGGGGCTGGGGGCAGGCCTCCACTACCTGTGAGTCAGGCCAGAGGCTCTGGCCCCCTTCCTTCAGGGCATCTTCCAACCCTGATCTGTGCCCTTCAGGGAGTGGCTGGGAGGAAACAGGCTCCCCGGGGGTGACGGAAGCACCCACGGGCCTGCACGGGGAGTTAATCTGGGGCAATGACCAGGCTGCTCATTGCCACGAGACTGAGCGTTGCCACGGGACGCCAGTGCTACGGCGCGGAGGCGAAGGCAGCCTGGGGAAGAGGGTCAGGCTCGCTGACCTCGACCGGGGTCGCGTGGGGCGCCCCCCGGCGGGCGGGCCCTAGGGAGAGAGGGCGAGGAGGCCCAGGTGTCCGGGGCCCCAGGACACAGCCCGGGCGCGCGTTACCTCCGCAGCGCTGCAGCAGAGCGCCCGGGTCCGCCTGCAGGTCTGAGTGCGTGCCCTGTGCGGCGCGCCGCTTCTCCGAGTGCACGATCAGCAGCATGTCGATAGACACGGCGTTGATGTCCTTCTTCAGCTCCATGGTGCCGCCTCCCTCCCGACTGGGGCGCTGCGGCCGCTCGCTAGGCTGCTTGCGTTGCAAATGGCCCCGTGCGCGCGGCTGCCCGGCGCGGGAGAGGGCGAGGGCGCGGGAGAGGGCGCTCCCCCGCCGCCGGAGCCGCCGCGCGCAGCGTTTCGCTGACTTTGCCAAACATGCCATTAGGGCCCGCCCGAGAGGGCGCTACCCTAATGAAGCGGCTCTAAGTCACCTTTGAAAGGAAATCCCCGGGGCTGAGCCCTGACCTGCACCGAGGCCGCAGTGGGCAGAGGCGGCAGCCTCTTCCAGAGCCTCTTTCCCCGCACTTGCACTCCCGCCCCGTGCACTTGAAGCTCCGGTCCTGAGTTCCAGGACTGCTCCCACTGGCTGAACGCTGCCTCATCCCCATGATCTCCGGGGTTCCCGGGAGGACTCAAACCGGAACTCCTCCGAGGCCACTGGCAAATACAGAAATTGCACAGTGCTGTCAACGTTGGGTGTTGGTTCTGGAGAGGGAAGACAGCAGGGGGCTCCAGATTGAATTGCAAGGCAGGCAGAAATTAGCTAAGTTTTGGCCTTGGCCTCTCTTATTCCCGGGGTGGGTCTTGGAGGTTGACAGCCCTCTCTGTAAGAGTGAGCCGGGTGGGGTGTTGGGGTCAGGACCTCTCCCCAGTGATGGCCCCTCCAGAACTTGAAACATGCCCTCTGGGCATCAGGCTAACACTCCTCTTTAGCCTGAAATGAAAATCTTAAAATCTCTGCTCCTTCTAGAAGCCTGGCTCCTGCCCTGCGGGGAAGGGAGGAGGGGAAGAGGAGCAGGCTGGGGCACAGGGAGCTGCCTGCTGCTGTCAGGGAGCTGGACCTGAGAACCGTCTATTTTTAGCAGGGCCTGGCCTGCCCAGCCAACAGCAGCCGGGCTTGGCCACAGGTCTCCGGCATGTTTACATGGCATCTGCTTGATAGCCCTGGGCACTATGGGTCCACCCTGCTGAGGGCAGTCCCTTAATTTGACTTTCCACCATTAATAAATGCCCCCACAGGAAGGCCTTTGCTCTGGGACCCCTCCCCACATTGCAATGTACTGACCTTTACAGCATGAGCCCTGAGAGCTCTGCCTTCTCCTTGGAGCAGCCTGCACCACACAGACTGTGTTCCAGTACCAGCTCCACCATTTGTTGCGACCTTGGACCAGCCATTTCCCCTCCATATTCTCACCCATATCACTGAGTTGATAAAAATTCTCATAGGGCTGTTGTGAGAATGACATGCATTTAAAGGTGGCCGGTGCACAATAAGTGGTCTTCAAATGATAGCTGTCATTCTTACCTTATTTAAGGGTAAGGAAAGGGACCGGTGGAGTGACAAGTTAGTGATGGAGCTGGCAGGGGTGAGGGTCACACCCTCATATTCTGAAGGTCTTTGCCCAGTGCCCATGGCTCACAGTTTGGTCTTATGTGAAGGCTGTTGTCTCACTGCATCACCACCGCCCCATCACCCACTGGGCATCTGCTGAAAGGGCAGGTCACTGGCTTCCAATAATGCCGGACTGGAGTCTCTAGGGAGCTGAGCCCATGGATGGACAGGTGGAGGTAGGTGACTCCCAAGGCAGGTTTCCCCCTTCTACAGTGAGCCCTGTCCTGTCTGCATGCGTGTGAGTACGCACAGGCACACTCACTCACACACACACATACTCTGGGAGGCTGGCTAAAATTTGTGCTCTATATGGCTGGGGAAGAGAAAACTATGGATGACAGGAAGCTCCTGGGGTCTTGGAGACTGCTGAGGCGGTTCTCAGGTCCCAGAGTCCCCTCAACTGACCTGGGACAGTGTTGCCTAACTCCTTCAAGGGTCAGGCTGTCTGAAGTGCAGAAACCAACAGAAGCCCCTGTGCAGCACCCCTCCTTACTGGATGGGGCTGACTGGTGGTGGTGGCGGAGGGGGGCAGAGGGGGTGGGTGAGAAAGCACTGAAGTCCCATTTCACTACACTTGGATCCCCGTCCTCCCACTCCTCCTCCCCTGCTGGAAAGTGTCACTCCTGGGAACTTGCCAACCATGTTGCTCCCTCACAGAGCTGCCGCGGGAGAAGATGCTGACCTGGGACTGCTAGCCAGGAATCTGGGAAGACTGTGTCGGCCTCCTGTCTTTTTGCTGTGTCTGAAAACAGAGCCTTTGAAGCAGAGCCTCTCATCCTCAGACTATTGACATTTGGGGCCAGATAATTTTTTGTTGTGGGATAGTCCTGTGCATTGTGGGATGTTTAGTAGCACCCCTGGCCTCTACCCACTAGATGCCAGTAGTACCCACTTCCCAACTATGACAATGTAGAATGTCTCCAGACATTGACCAGTGTTTTCTGGGGAACAGAATTGTGGTGAGAATATTGCCTTTGAGTAAACTCCTGAAATAGGGGTCACCTTGACTGCTCTGGACCCATCCCCAGAGGTTCCCCTCTGGCTGTGAGTCGAACAGCCCAGCTTCTGGGGCCTGCAGAGCTGCTCCCTGCCAGGAGCCTGGGCAGAAAGATGAGATACTCTTCTCACTGCCCACTCTATGCCCATGCCGGCCTCAGTTGACCTGGCTGGGTCCCACTTGTCCAATACCTATTCTTGGGCTGAGAAGGGGACACCATGGAGAAGGTGATGTAGCTGAGGGCATTTGGATGCATCAGGAAAGGGGAAGAGGTGCAGGAGAGAAGACTGAAGCTACTGAGATATCTTCAGCCCAAGGTTCTATCCCTGCTGCTCAAGTCTCACCTCCAGCCACAACTAACAGGACAAAGAACAGACCCCCAGCCTGCGATTCTATAGACCCATCTCTTCCTCTTTCCTTGCCCAACCCACACATGCTGCAGCCAAAGTCATATCCTCCACACCCCAAATACACCATACTAACCCCACCACACTAGCCCCTCTATCCCTGCCACTATTTTGAACAACATGGGATTCAAGGATCTCTGTATTTTGACCAAAAGAAACTACATTCTTGTCTTCATGTCTGACAAGCCAGGGGCTACCTCCACTCTTGGGCAAAACTTTATTTTAATCACAATGAGTTGGAAATTTCAGGACACCAAAAACAAGGAGCAGTCAAAATAGCTGTATTGTCACCTTTATCTTCCATCAAATTTAACACTCAGACATGTCCAACTGTTGCCCTTGCTGCATCCACCCCTTTGCTTGAAGGCAGGATTGTCAGTTGTCTGAACCGGCTGGCCCTGAGCTGGCTCTGCTGTCCTGGAGATGAAGAGTGCTCGACAGCGGGGGGCTTGCTCCGGGTAGAGGGGTGTGTTCTGATTCCCATTGTTGTTTTTCCTCAGAAATAGTAGTTCCACAAGAACTGTCACTCAGAGCTCTTTTACCTCTCTTGGCATCCTAAGACTCAAGTTTCTCTCTTCATAGTAGGCAAGCCAATTTGAGAAAGGCTTTTCACAGGGAGTCTGCAGAAGGACACGCTGCTCTCCACTGATGCAGGGGGGAAGGGGCACGTGGAGAGCGGGGTAACTTGAGGAAGAGCCACAGACCAGGTCCCAGTCTCCTAATTCCCTCAGATTCCCCTGAGTTGGGCAAACCCTTACATGGAATACTAGACACTGTTCCCAGAAACTTTTTCTGCAGTTGGTGTAGGCTTCTCATGGTCTCTTGGCCAGCCTGGCTTAGCTGGCTTCTACTTCTGAGTCTTTGCCACTGATATGACTTCTGCCTGCAAAGCTTCTTTGGACCATTCTGGCAAGTACAGTCTAGCCATCCTTCAAGACCTGACAGCAGCCCTCACTTCTACCTTGAAGCCTTCCTGGCTACCCCAGTCCTTGGAGCTCCTTGGGAATGCCAAGTCTGTGGTGCCCTCTTTTTACAATCCCAATAGTTAATAGGACTTGGAAGATCACCCCCACTCTGTCCCACACCCATCAAATTTGGAAAACATGTCAATCCCCTCTGGAGCAGTTATGTCAGGCAAACATGTTTTCCAGACAATGCCTCTTACTAAGGTGACATTGAATAATCTACTTAACCTCTCTGAGCCTCAGTTTTATTCATCTGTCAAATGGGTGAGGGTGCTAGGATTAAATGTGATGAAGTGCCTAGCTATGGCTTATTTATAGCCATATGGCATATATAAGGCACATACATAGGCAGCTTCCTGTGTTCCTGTTACACCCTTGCCTGGGTCTTGGTTTGGGGGGGGGTCTCATGTATGTGGTTCCACAGTTGGGAGGGAGGGCAATGGAAAAAATTGGAGTCAGCCCTGATACCCCCGTGGAGAAAGAATATGCCTTCCTTCCTGTGTCACTGCTCCATGCCACTGTTCTGCCATCACGGAGAAACTCAGTGAGCCCCAGAACCCTCTCCTTGGACTGACATCAGATCTGTGCAGCTGCAGCCTCTTTGGCAGGAGTTGTCGTTCAGCACAGCTCTGCTTCTTTCCAGCCCTACTGCCTTGCGAACACTCTGTGTGCATTCAGCGGGATGTGCCTTTGCATGAGCTCCTTTTTACAGATGAGAAAACTGAGGCTGAGAAACCTGAGGTGACCCACCCAAGCTCCCACAGGTGTCTTACATGTAGCAGGGGACACCTCAACCCTGGACACCCCACCTCACTCTGCATGTTCCCAAGTTCACATGCTGAACACCCCCACCCCCATATGACCATGACATGCCTGTGTCCTAAGGCCACTTGGTGCCCAGGCCCAGAGGAAGAGCAGCTGTCAGCCTGCAGGGGAGATGCCGTCAATAATCATTATAAGCACAACTTGACCCAGGGCTCTAAGACCTCTGTCAAGGCGCTTTGAAAAATTCTTTGAGCTCAAACCCTGAGCTGGGCCTTTGTGGACAGATTTTCCAGGCTCTGTGGCATTCATGGGGAGAAAACTGGTGGCAGTGGTCCAAGTTGGTGGCTAGGAGCATTCAGCAATCTTAGGAGCAGTGAGGTAGCCCTGCCAGGGATGGAGAGGTGGGCAGAAGACTGCCTTTGTTGCAGACATGAGAAGGAATTTTGTGTTGTAACACACTCCATGCTGTTCTGAGGTGAGGACGGTTACACTGTAAAGAGGGCTTTCCACT